CATATATTATTACTGTTACTGTGTACAATAGTCTCCTGATTCTGCTCACTTCACTTTTGTATCAGTTCATTCTCCAATTATTTAAATCTGACTTTATTTGCATAAGAAGTGTTTTATAATTATGTTCATATAGTTCTTGGGTTTATCTCAGCAGATATACTCCCAAGTGTTTTATATCATCTGTTGTTATTTTAAATAAAATATCTTTTACCACTCTTCTTGAAGGTCATTGTGGGTAATATATAGAAATGTGGATGAGTTATGTGGGTTTTTTTTATATCCTGCTACTTTGCTAAAGTAACTAATTGTTTCAACTAATTTTCTATTTGAATTTTCAAAAAGAAATAGTTTTAATTTCCTTATTGTTCATTTTGTTTTCTTCAATTTCTTTTTCTTCCCTTATTGCTAACATTTCAATTACAATATTAAATAATATTGATGATAATGGGCATCCTTGTTTTACTCTTGATTTTATTGGGAAGGTTCTAGCTTATCCCCATTACAGATAGTGCTTGCTGATAGTTTTAGGTAGATGATTCTTATCATTTTAAGGAAAAATCATATTGATTTGATATAATCATAAGATTTTTATTGATTTTGTTACTGATATAATCAGTTATGTTAAAAATTTCCTTTATATTGAACCCTGCCTTCCTGGTATGAATCCCACTTGCTCACAATGTAAATGCTTTGTGATGTATCGCTGTAGTCTCCTAGCTAGTATTTTATTTGGTATGTTTGCTTCAATATTCACTAATGAAGTTGGTCTATAATTTTCTTTCTCTGTTTTTGCTCTTCCTGGTTTAGGTATCAGCACAATCTTTGTTTCATAGAAGGAGTTTGGTAGGACTCCTTCTTTGCCTATTATTCCAAATTATTTATTTAACATTAGAATTAGTTGATCTTTAAATCTTTGTTAAAATTCATTTGTAAATCCACCTGGTCCTGCCACTTTTTTTTTCTTAGGAAAGCCTGTTCAATTTTTTTTTCTAAAACAGGTTTATTTAGATATTCTGTTTCTTCTTTTGTTAATCTTAGCAGTGTTCTCTCCCCCCCCCCCCCGTAAAACCAGCTATGAATTTTAGGTATTAATTTAATGGTTTTCTTACATTAAGTTTTTATTAATCTTATCTTTCATTTTCAGGATTTCCAATTTGGTGTTTAATTGGTGATTTTAAATTTATTCTTTTTTTTTTTTAGTTTTTTAAATTGAATACTCGATTATTGACCTGGTTCTTTATTTTATTGATGTAAGCATTTAATGATATAAATTTTCCTCTGATTACTGATTTTGCTGTACCTCATAAGTTTTGGTATATTGCCTCATTATTGTCATTCTCTTTAATAAAATTATTTATTTCTATGATTTGTTCTTTGACTCACTCATTCTTTAAGATTAGGTTATTTAGTTTCCAATTAATTTTCAATCTGTTTCCATGGTCCTTAAATATAATTTTTATTGCATTATGATCTGAAAAGCATGCATTATGTATTTCTGCCTATAAGCTTTGTTATGCTTTAGTGTATGGTCAATTTTTATAAAGGTGCCATGTACCACCGAGAAAATGATATATTTGTTTCTATTCCCATTTAATTCTCTCCAGATGTGTATTGTATCTAGCTTATCTAAAATTCTATTCATCTCCTTGACTTCTTTCTTATTTATTTTTGGTTAGATTTATCTAGTTCTGAGAGGGGAAGGTTGAAGGCTCCCACTGTTATAGTTTTGCTATCTGTTTCCACCTGTAATTCATTTTTTAGCAAAATGTAGTTTCCCTGCTTATCTCTTTTAATAGATCTGTTTTTGCTTTTGCTTTGTCTGAAATCATCATTGCTGTCCCTGCTTTTTTTTTTAACTTCAGCTGTAGCATAATAAATTCTACTCCATCCCTTTATTTTTGTTCTATTTGTGTTCCTTATTTTTTTTTTGTCCCTCATTTTCAATTGTATTTCTTGTAAACAACATATCATCAGGTTCTGGTTTTTGTTCCATTCTGCTACTTATTTCTGTTTTGTAGGCAAATTCATCTCACTTTTCATTTAAAGTTAAAATTACTAGTTGTGTATTGCCTGCTATCCTATTTTTCCCAGTTTCTCTATTTTCCTCTCCTCTCTTTTGCTCTCCTCCTCCCTCCTTCCTTCTTCCTCCTCCTCCTCCTCCTCCTCCTCCTTCTCTCTCTCTCTCTCTCTCTCTCTCTCTCTCTCTCTCTCTCTCTCTCTTCCCTCAGCAGAAGTTTAATTTATTTCTGACCACTGCCTCCAGTAATTCATGCACCCTTTTGACTCTCCCTTATATTATCCCCTTATCCTTCTATTTCTTAATCTGCATACCCTTCCTATCTCCTTGCCCTCTTATTTCTCTGCAAGTTAAAAAGGCTTTTATCAGCTAGATGTACAAGTTATTCCTTCTTTAACCCAATTCTGATGAGAATAAAATTCCTGCATAACCCACCCTTCACTCTCTCTTGTCCTCCACTGTAATAGTTCTTCCATTTACACCTCTTTTGTATGAGATAATTTGCTCCATTTTACCTTTTTGCATCCAGTACTATTTTTTAGGTTCATCATAGTCAACTCAAATCCAGTCCTTCTATGTATATACACTCTTTTGAACTATCCTAATAATGATGACATTCTTAAGAGTTACAAATATAATTTTCCCATGTAAGAAAGTAAATAGTTTAACCTTATTAAATTCTTTATGATTAGTCTTTTATGTTTACCTTCTTATGTTCCTTTTGATTTTTGTATTTTAAAGTTCAGTTATTTTCCTCAAGAATGTCTGAAAGTCCTTTAATTCATTAAATATTTTTTTCCTCTCTTGCAGGATTACACTTAGCTTTGCTGGGTGGGTTATTCTTAGTTGCAAACCCAACTCATTTGCATGTATTGCACATCTTTTGCCATTTTTAATGTAGAAACTACTAAATATTGTGTTATCCTTATTATAATTCCACAATATTTGGATTATTTCTTTCTAGTTGCTTGTAATATTTTCTCCTTTACCTAGGAGCTTTGAAATGTAATGTTCCTGTAAGTTTTCATTTTGGGATCTCTTTTAGTAGGTGATTGATGGATTCTTTCAATTTCTGTTTTACCCTCTAGTTCTAAAACTTTAGGGTAATTTTCTTAATAATTTCTTGACATATAATGTCTAGACTCTTTTTTTGATCATGACTTCATTATTTCTCCTTGATCTGTTTTCTCGGTCAATTGTTTTTCCAATGAAATATTTATGTTATCTTTTATTTTTCCATTCTTTTGATTTTGTTGTTATTATTTCTTCATGTCTTATGAAGTCATTAGCTTCATCTTGCCCAATTCTCATTTTTAAGGAGTTATTTTCTTCAGTAAGTTTTTGGATATTTTTTTAATTGGTTGACTTTCTTTTCATGATTTCTTGATTTTCTTGCATTACTCTTAGTTCTTTCCCCCAGTTTCCCCTAACCTCTTATTTGATTTTTAAAGTCTTTTTTAAGCTCTTCCAAGACCTCTTTTTGTGACCATTTTACATTTTCTTTGAATTTGTTTTGACTTCATGGTCTTCTTAGTTTGAATCCTGATCTTCTCTATCACCATAGTAACTATCTGTGGTTGGGTTTATTCATTTTTTAAAACAGCCTATTAATTGGCTATTAACTTTATGTTAGGTTGGGCTCTGCTTCCAGGGAGTGGGGAAGGGTTTTTCATGCTGTTGTTTTCTGAGCTGTATCCAAGGGCCTTGGTTCTTCCAAGGTGATCATAGCACCAAGGGTGGTCTCTGCTCTTCCATCCCACACTTTGATTTATGAATGACCTTAGGTGTTCTTCTTCTCCCTTGAGCTGTGACCACACAAGCTACTGTAGGAAAGGGAATTGTGGGAAGATTGTGGAATAAGGCAGGAAATTTCCTGGCTCTCTCAAATTCCCAAATCCCAAATAGTAGCGGGCCCTTGCACTACTGTATGCCAAATGTTTTCACTCCTCTACGTCCTGGAAATGCACCACTGACCTCTGTTCTCCTGTGGCTGCAGGCATCACTGGACCCCTCTGCCTGGGAACCAAAACCTCTGTGACAGCCTGGGACCTTGTCCAGCTTATGTGCCTGGGCCCCGTGTCCTTGGCCAGCAGAGGCCAACCCTTCAATCTTTCCCTGATCAGCTCTCCTCCCCCTCCCCTGGTCTTTCCCTGATGAGCTTCTCACACCCACACAATCCTGGTGTGAAAGTTCCTGCATCCCCTGCCTCTGACATAGCTACCTCATCTTGCTGCTACTGACCATTCACATTTCATTCCCAGCCAGACCACCAGCCCTGGCAGGTCAGAGCTTTCCTAACATCCTCCCAAGTTGTCTTAGCCTGGATGACTACTTTACCCCAACTTTTTATTATTTTTGCCACTCTAAAATTCACTTTGAGGCATTATTTTAAGTTATTTGGGGGGGGGGAATTTGGGAGAGCCAGCTGATTTCCTGCCTTATTCTACAATCTTCCCACAATTCCCTCTCCCACAGTAGCTTTTTGTGGTCAAGTTCTTTTTTGTTGTTGTTTGCCCTTTTTCCTGCCTATTTCTTGACTTTAAACTTTATGTTAAAGTTGGGCTCTGCCCACTTGGGGATGTGGAGGCAAAAAGCTTCAGGCTTTTTCATGCTGCTTTTTTTCAGAGCCAGTCTGAGGGTCTGCAAGTTTTTAGTGCTTCCAAGACGGTGTGATCCTGGGAGAGGTGTGGTCACTGCTCTCCTGGTCTGTGCTCTGGTCTTTACCCAGGAAAGGCTCCTGCTCCCCTGAAGCCACATGTGCTAGTGCTCCTCTTGGTCCTGTAGCTGCGACCAGGGTCCCTGCTGACCCCCAGTGCTCCTCACTGCCCTGGAGCTGTGATCCAGAACTGTGTATGAGCACTGGAGTTACCAATCAGTGCCAGCAAAGGGTTCCCTGGAATCTCTTTCCCACCAGTTGTCTGAGCCCTTCACCATCTCTGGGCTGACAGCTCCTGAAGCTTCTGTGGCAGTGGCAATGGCAGCGATGGTGGCAGTGGCGGCAGTGGTGGCGGTGGTTCTGGTGATGGAAGTGGTGGCGGTGGTGGCGGTGATGGCGGTGGTGGCGGCTCCTCATTGCGTGTGGGCTATGGACAGACTTCCACCCCAGTGTCATAGACCTATCCTGCCATCCTCTTAAGTTTTCTTTGGCTGGAAAAATGCCTCCTCTTGACCTTTTGTTGGCTTTGCTGCTCCCAAATTTGATTTGAGGTGTTATTTTAAAGTTGTTTGGAGAGGAATGTTGGGAGAGCTCAGCTGGTTTACCTCTAATCTGCCATCTTGGCTCCTCACTTTACCATGTACTTTTAGAGGGGATTTTTAATTCCTCCCTGTCCTAGACACGCCTACCCCTATCTCTGTCCCATCTCATCACTCAGTGGCATTTTAGGAAAGTGTTTGTTTTGAGTTTCTCCTTTCCTGAGGGCCTGTTTGGACTGCCCCAAATCTTGGTGTGTGAAGGTCCCCACGGACTGGGCAGGCAGATCATGGGGGGAGGGGGGGAATTCCCTGAGCCTTCCTGTTTCCATTCAGGAAAGGCAGGACCGTGGCCCAGGGACACCCTAGTCACAGGATGCTGTTTTCTTTTCTGTCACAGGGAGTTAATACGAACAGTTGTGAATTCAGTGGATTTGGGGTCTTTGCATCCCACAACTGCTGGAATCAAAGCAGATGCAAGGCCTCATTCTTCGCCCTTTGGTATCACAACCGCTAATGCTGGCAGAAATCTCATCAAGTCATCTTCATGTGAGTACCCAGGACTGTATTTAGAAAAGCAGCTGTATTCAAACATGTTACCAAGGAGCCAATGATGGTTAGGTTTCAGATGTCACTTGCTTGTTCTGCGGCCTGGGCAAGTCACTTTCCTTTCTGGGGCTCAGTTTCCTCATCTGGAAAATGGGACAGTTGGATAAGACTTTTGTTGGAGGTGCTTTCTGTGCTAACATCTGGTGATTCCAATCTTTGTACAGAATAGAACAGAGGGACCCCTTGTAATGTTGCCCTAATTGATGCAACAAGGTGAAATTTCCTTATCCTCTCAAGTTACCACTTTGGGTGACTGAATCTAGCTGAATGTTTTCCCTCTCTGAGACCATCAGCAGTGTCTTCGGGGACAGCTCTTCCCTTTACATGTTGTCCTGGTCCACGGTGAGGGAGGAGGAGGAGGAGAAGGGGCAGAAGGGGGAGGAGGGGCAGGAGGGCTGGGGGGAGGAGGGGAAAAGGAGGGTAGAAGAGGAGGGGAGGAGGAGGAGTGGGAGGGGGAGGAGGAGGAGAAATACCTTTCGATCAGTACCTGGCTTCACTCTGCTGAGAAGAGGGAGACCAGACTGACTTAACTGATGGATGGTGGAGGTTCGTCCTGTGCTTGGTGAATGACTATCCTCCTTTTCTACCTTCTTCTCAAGCGCCAGAGGCTTTTCTTCATCTCCCTCCCAAGCAGTGCTAGCAGGCTAATTGGATTTTTTTTCTTTCCCAAAGTATGCTCCCATACCTTAAAAAAATGGTTTAACTTTCAAAGAAAGAGAAATTAATTGATGGTGGCTTCATGCCGGTTCCCCTAGAGGTTGAAACAGGGCCAAGTCATTCAAAAGCAATTTTCAGCTTTTGGGAACTTGGGGAACGAAAAAAGATTTGAGGCCTGGGAATGAAATCTTTCCAGTCTCTCAGTGGCAGGCCTCTGGTGACCTTTCCTCGTGTGCCTCACCATCCCTGGCTGTTTTTCTCTACCTCTTACACCCTCCAGACCCATCCTGATCATTCCAGGCCAGAGTGGACAGGAGGGTTCATGTGTCAGTGTGACAGCACTGAGTGACAGAATTAACTAAGGCATTCAATGCTCCTGAGAAGGACCATTTGTTACCAGTTTACAAATGAATCTCCACTGTGTCAACACCCTGTGGGTTTGAAGCCAAAGATATTCAGCTCAGTTAGTTTGGTTTTTGCATTGCATGCGTACTCTTCCCTACCCAAGTAATTTCTCAAAATTTCAGATCTGATAATTTCTGGGTACATACATACATATATGTACACACAGTAATAAATGTATAGACAACAGGCAATAATACGCATGTGGACATTAGACAATAACACCCATATGCAGTAATAGAGACATACACAGTATTTCGGGACATGCACAATATACAGTGATACATAGAACAGGCAACAATGCCCCCACACAAAGCATAACGTTGTCATACTATAATGGCACACAGTATTACCTGCAATTTAACACACACACTGTGTCCTAGGACAGATACATACACTTTAAAGTACTCTACTGCTTGCTCACTCTCACGGGGATGACAGTGATGAGACAAGCCTCGTCGCTCGTCGGCTTGGACCTGTCATGTCTCGGCCGTGGGAAGCTCCAGGCGAGGACGCTGCCCTTCAGGCTTTGTCAGGTGGACAACAAGCCACGGCCCAGGGCTTGGGAGAATTGCCTGGGGTGGGTGACCGCATCAGCTCCCCCAGCTTCACTGCCCGCCTCCTGCGGGTGATGCTCACATCACTTCTCTAGCCCAGGCCTCTCTGCTGACTTCTGTCCTCTCTTCCTCTTGGACGCTTCAAACTGGATGTCTTAAACTCAACGTGTGTCAAATGGAATTCATTATTGCCTCCCCTCCTGACACCCTCCTCTCTGAAATTGGGGGAATAAGAATAGCTCATTTTTCTGTAACATCATGAAGCTTACCAACTACTGCCCTTCCACAAGCCCTGCGAGGGGTGGAAGTATAGTTGTTATTATCCCCCTTGAACTGAGTTGCCCGTCTTCATAAATCTAAAAATGGCAAGGAGATACCTTGAACCCAGGACTTCTGGCTCCCAGTGCAATACCCTTTGCACCCCGTTTTGATGGATTGATTCAGGGTCTGCTTTGTCCATACCCGAGGCCATCTAGGAACCCAGGTGGCATCATGGCTGTACCCAGAGGGGCTCAGTGACTCAGTGAGAAATTGCAATGATAAATGGGGGTGAGATGGGGGGCACAAATAATCCCACCATCCTTCTCTAGTTGTATGTCATAGGTGTGTTCTAGGGGAGATGGAGCTTTCGTAAAATGATGTTTTATATCTGCCCAGAGCTTAATAAGTGATGGACAGAGCTAATAAATAAACTATAATCACAAAACCATTTACAGCCTTGTGCGTAAAAGCTGAAGATTTACTGGCCCACAAACATTCTTTTCCCACCTTCTCTCTCTCCCTGGTAGGTAGTAAAATAGCTGAAATTCCATGGTAAAAGAAAATTAAGTCATTTGTTACTAATTTGTGCCATCGGTGAGTACATACCGTATTTACCCGTCCTATTGTATTTAACTTGCATGTTCCCCTCTTCTCCATTTTAAGACAGGAGTGGAGTATGTGCACATGCATGTACACATATGTGGTTGAAGGGGGTACATTAGTTACATTTATTCCAACTCACCTTGAATGTTCTCCATCCACGACACGTTGGCTGGTGCTGGCACCATGTCTGAGTAGAGATGTTGATAAGCTGGAGTGAGAGCTTTGGAGACCGTGGCAGAGGAAGACTGGGGGAAAGGCCTGGCCGGCGTTGGCCTGCAGGAGGCAGGAGTAGGCAGGTGATAATGCTGATAGACTGTCCTGTGGCAGAGGGAGCCAGCTGTTCTGGGCGGCTCAGAGGGTCGGACTGGGACACGTGGCTGATGACGACAGAAAATGATCTGCAGGACAGGGATTACGGTTCGTCGCAGGCCCTGAGCTTTCCATGATGTCTTTGTCTCTGTGCCCTCGCACCTAGTGTTGCACTGGCGCACACACACGTGTCGCTTAATAAATGCCTGTTTGTTGATTGATTGTGTATGTACAGGACGTGTTTCCCCTGGTAGAAGGTAAGCTTCCTGAGGACAGGGAGTGTCTCCTTTTGTCTCTGTATCCCCAGCCCCTAGAGCTGTGCCTTGCATATAGCAGGCACTTCCTAAGAGTCCTTGTTGGTTGCCGGGCAGAGGCTGGCAGGTGCCAGGCTGGGAACACGGTAGAAGACATTCAGTTCCAGGCCAGATGGGAGGTTGGATAAGGGGGGAGGATCATGGAGGTGGCTGACTTTTTCATAAGAGAGCTGAGCCTGACTTCTGGGCCTCGGTTTCCTCATCTTTGCTCTGGGGTGCACCAGCAGCTTCAGGGTCTCTTTCGGCTCAGCCTCTGAGCATTTTTCATTCCCCACATGGGGGTGAGGTCCAGCGATGTACATGCTCTGCGTAGGCTCTGAGTGCCCCCCATCTTTTCTTTTAGCCAAACGGGCTTTGCTGCTCTGTGATCTGGGGCATTCCCTGCTCCTGCCAGGGGGAGTGGACCCAGATGGGGAATGGGCAGGAAAGATTCTGAGTGGGGGAAAATACCCAAGGAAAGACTGTTTTCAGATTCGTGTACTTACTGGGACCCTCCGGGATCCCTGACTCATTTCAGACCGTGTGGCTTCTGCTTCCTCTGATGCAGACTGAGACCCTTCTCAGATTTTGTGCCCGGAGGCCTCCCGATGGAGGCTTTCCCAAAGACCAGCTGATCCTCTGACCCTTGTTGGGCCTAATGATCCAACAATGTCAATAAAACCATGTAATCTACCCTTAATTAGATTCTCCTATTACTCCCCTGCTGTCAGATCTGTGAATTAAAGTTCCTACTATGCGCAGAGGCATACAGAAACAGGAGTCCCTGGCCTCAGAAAGCTGACGTTCTGGGAGGGTTAGAAGAAAGAGCCTTTCCTTTGTGCTGCTTTGTGTTCATTCCCTCAGAGCTGGAATCTCCTGGGGGGTGGGGATCCCCAACTCAGAGTCCTAGACCTTGGATGACTGGGAAATCCCCTTCCAGGTCCCCAGTCATGTAGAGCAGCATAGAAAGCATTCTCCTCCTCGGAGCCAGCAACGCTGTGTGACCTCAGGCAAGCCTCTGAGTGTCTCTGAGCCTTTTCCCCAAGGGGAGGGACCATTCGCTCCCCCTTCCACCCAGAGCTGTGTGGGGCCCGGGCCGGCCATCACTGGGTCTTGGGCTGTTACAGAAAGGTGTTTATGAAGCTGAGCTGCTCTGGCCCCGTTCTGAACACTTCTCCCTGGTTCTCTGTTGTAAATGCACTTACTAAACAGCTGCTTCTGTTTTCCAGCCATATGCGTTGTGAATCCCATCTTGTCCTTTGCGGATCTCGATCGAATCTTCTTTCAAAAAATTCTCGAGAAAGAAGACGACTTGAAGAAAGCGTTTAACATAATTGATTCTGAGCAGACCCTGAGGGTGACAAAGAATCAGCTGAGAAGGATAATTGAAGTCTACCTTCTGCCTCTCACCCGCAAGCAGTTTAATGAAGTCCTGTCTCAGGTATGGACAGTGGGCTGCAGGTGACCCGAGGCATCTACTCAATTCTCATGGTTCTTCAAAGTAAAGTGGGGGAGGCAAGGAGGGTGTGACAGGAGCAATGCATCGGGACTCGGGGTCCTAGGACCCTGGGGACCTAAAGCAAGGCAGTTCTCCTTAGAGCTTTCATTTATTCATCTGTAAGATTAAGGGGTTGGACTAAGATACTCCCAGCTCTGACATCCCCTATTCTAAGGTGCCTCCCAGCCCTGACCTTCCCTGTTCTAAGGCCCCTCCCAGCCCTGACCTTCCTTGTTCTAAGGCCCCTCCCAGCCCTCACCTTCCTTGTTATAAGGCCCCTCCCAGCTCTGACCTTCCCTATTCTAAGGCCCCTCCCAGCCCTGACCTTCCTTGTTCTAAGGCCCCTCCCAGCTCTGACATCCCCTGTTCTAAGGCACCTCTCAGCTCTGACACCCCCTGTTCTAAGGCACCTCTCAGCTCTGACCTTCCCTGTTCTAAGGTTCCCCCTAACTCTGATGTTCTCTGCTCTATGGGCTTACCATAGCTTTAATAGCTATGACTTCCTATGAGGAACCTCTGGGAAGAAGCCAGCTTCCTCATATCATACATCTCGTGTACATAGTAATACTTTTGTGCAGCTTGCCCTCAAGGCCCTTATAGTTTGGGCAAATACATTCAAAATAAATACATTTGGGTAAATATAGTGATGCCAAGGGGGCAGTTAGGTGGTGCAGAGGATGGAGTGCTGGACTTGGAGTCAGGAAGACCTGAGTTCAAATCTGGCCTCAGATATTTACTAGCTGTGTGACCCTGAGCAAGTCACTTCCCCCCACTTGCCTTGGTTTCCTCATCTGTAAAATGAGCCGGAGAAGGAAATGGCAAATCACTGCAGTATCTCTGTCAAGAAAACCCCGATAAAGTCGTGGAGAGTCAGACTCAACTGAACAAGGGATGACAAGAACATGCCCTGGGTGGGCAGTTCGAAAACCACACGCATCCATGCACGGACACACACACACATACACGTACACACACACACACACACACACACACACACACACACACACACACACGTATGCTCACGGGGGTGGTAGCTGACCGGGCAGAGTTGTGTTTCAGCTAGGGTTTGGACCTAGGGGCCTTGTCGGCTTCTTCCACCCCTGGGAGCCTAGATTCCTACATGGGCTGGTGGGTTTTTCCAAGGTCTCCCTCGGCCCTTTCGGTCCTCCCCAGACTCCTCCTCTTCAGGCTGTGAATCCCCAGCTCCTCCAGCCGCTGGCCCTGCCACAGCCTCTGGCCCCCTGGCCACCCTGGCTGTCCCCTCTGAGTGACCTCCACTTCATCACTGTCTGTGGTGATTGTTTGGAAAGCCAGGCCTGCTCCCCACAGAAGCTGCTCCTCCCTGGGCTCTCACGCCAGGCTCTTGGGGAAGTCTGGCCTCTAGTTACTTTGCCCATTCTGGAGCTGTGGAGCCGTTTGTCAGGAGAACACATAACCAAAGATGAATTTCTGGCGGGCTCCAGTTCCGCTCGACCCCTGTGCCTTTGATTTTCCTGTCCTCAGATTTCACAGGCTTTTCCCGGGCTCTTTCCGGACGTGTTTGTTGTTTCTTTCTCTCAAGTAGGTACCAATTCTGGTGCCTTTTGTCCTCAAAGCTCTTGTCCCTGAAAGCCCAGCATGTGTCTTAACGGCAGCTCAAGAAATCGAGCAGATTCCCCTGGACCCTTCGGGACCTCCTCTACTATTGGTCACCTCTCTGTCGGCACTGATTGTGACCCCTTCCTACTGTGGTAGCCGGCCCTCGTCTCAGCAGCCGTCTGTCCCTGGAGGCTGCGGGGGGGTGAGAGCCGATCATTTGTGGTCCATTGCCAGGTGTCCTCAGAAGCCTTCCCAGCTCAGCAGGGAGAGTTTGGGTTCTGCTGGCGGAGCCTTTGAGAGCCGGGATCACTTCCATGCCTTGATTAGGAGGATCATAGTGGAGGGGGGTATGTACGTCCAAAGTGGGCTCTCAGCCTGCCTTTAGAGATGACCTGAGCTTCAGCCCTGCAGGCCTTTCATTAGATGCCTCCCAGAGTTTTCTGCAAATATTCCCCTCCCTCCAGGGGCTTAGGCCAGGCTGACTTGTGCCTGTGGATGGGGCAGTAGGAGCTAGTGTCAGGGTTCAGGTCAGTGTGCTTTTATTATGCTCCTCTTGTGTACGGGGCACTGTGCTAGGTCTGGGGGGGCAAAGATGACAAAAGCCATGCCCACAGGCCCAGCCCTTCAAAAGCTTACAGTCTAATGGGGGTGGGGGTTGGGGGGGGTTTCCTGATACATCACGCAGATGAACCAACATGACTCGCAGCAATCAATCAGCTACTAAGCATTTATTGAGCACCTACTGTGTGCATAGCACCGTGCCAGGTCCTTGCCCTCGAGGAGCTTCATTGCTAACATGCACACATAGAAACAAATACAAAATCTTTAAAAATAGAGGCCATCTGCGGGGAGGGGCCCCGGCCAATGGGACATTAGAAAGGCTGACGGAAGGGGTCTGGAGCTGAGCCCCAGAGGAAAGCAGGCGTTCTTAGAGGAGAAGGCGAAGAAGGGGGCATTCTAGGCCTGGGCAAGGCCCCGAAGGCAGCCGGGAGCAGGGATAGACAGACCAGGGTGGCAGAGAAGGGGAGTGGGGGAGATGAGGCCCCGAGGCAGGCCGGAGCCCCAGGGTCAGGCCAGTGTGCTGGGGCTAGAATTCACTGGGAACGAGCAAAGTTCTTCCCTTTCCAGTCCCCCCAACTCCCTGCCTCTTGTGTGTGTAGGAAACGGGCGATCTGTGACCCTGGGCAGGGAGGAGGCCAGCAGTGGGGCTGCAGGGCAGGGCCGGGTGGCAGCAGCTCCCATCCAGAGATCTCTGTCCCCAGGTCCGTCCAGGTCTGCTTCACTGGGTCAGGAGTGAGCTGCTCCCCACCCCTCCTCCATACCTCTCAGCGTCTATGCCTCCAATGTTACCTTCTACGGGGTCTTCTTTTCAGGGCCCTCCTGCTCCTGGAATGCCTTCCCTGTGGAGGCGGTGAGGTGGGGGATGGAGAGAGCGCTGGCCCTGGAGTCAGGAAGGCTGTGTGACCCTGGGCGAGTCATCTGACTTCTGCGTGCCTCAGTTACCTCCATAGTAAAACAGAGTCATAACAGCACCTAACTCACAGGATTCTTGTAAAGGCCGGATGAGAGACTGTTTGTAAAGCATGTTGGGGCATGTAGTAGGCACTTTATAAATGCTAGTTCACAAGGGAAGGGAATCTACATTTATTAGGCACTGTGCTAAGCAGTTACACATATTATCTCACTTGGTTCTCATAACCACCCCATGAGGTAGGTGCTGTCATTAACTCCATTTTACAGATGAGGAAACTGAGGCAGACGGCAAGTAAGTGCCTTGCCCAGGCTAGTGTCTGAGGCCAGATTTGAACTCAGGAGTGCTGAACCCTTTCCACTCTTCTAAGGTTACTTTGTATACTCTGTAGGGATCTTGTATATACCTAGTAATTTACATGCCTCCGCCATTAGAAGGGGGATTCCCTGAGGGCAGAGACTATCCTTTTGACTTTTTGTATGGCAGTGCCCAGCATGATGCCTGTCACACAGTAGGTGCTTAGTAAATGTTGACTGATTGGTTGCTCCTTTCCTCCATGCACACTACAATCCAGGCTGCCTGTGGGCATCTCAGGATGCCCTCCCCTCTCTCACCTTGAGTTGGGGGGGCTCTCTGCCTCCCTCTATAAGCCTGTGCCCAAAGCATCTCCTCAGAGGTGAGTGTTAGAGAGGCCTGAGTGGAGCTCAGTGCTGTCCACGTGGACATTAACCTAAGGCTACAAATTCTGAGTCTGCTTTGGGGGCCTGGATTTGTGGGAGAGCCTGTCCGGTCTGGGAGACGTGCTCTTGGCATTCTCTCGTCCAGCACAGTTGTCCAACGTGCTTGACAGGAGCACATGTCACAAGTGGGGATTGTACCTGTTTTGCTTTGTTGTCCGAAGTTTGAGAGGCCACCAGAATTAGGGTTATTTAGGATAAAGAAGAGAAGATGTGGGGGTTATGAACTGACTTCAGCCTCTGAAAGATGGGTTGGACTGATCCTGTGGGGAGATCCAGAGGTCAGAGTTAGGAGGAATGCGGGGAAGTGGGAAGGAGGAATGTGAAGCGGGTGAAGGTTGTGGACCGACTATGTGGAGGCCAGAGTCTGCTGCTCCCTAAGCAGGAACAGGGTAGTAGGGGCTCATACTTCTGGCCTGGATGGGGCCAGATGAGTCCTCTTCTAATGGGGGGGGTCTGAGCTTCTAGAAAGGTTGCCAGGTCCTGTGGTTGACAGAACCCTTGAATCCACTCCTGTCCTGCTTTTGTCGGGCTAAAAAAGCCAATGGAGAGAAAAGCGAGCATTGAAGGACTGACCCAGGATTAGAGCTAGTGAAAAAGGCCCTGGCCAGAAATGAGTTGAGTGGCCTGAGCCTCTGCCAAGTTAGCAGCCCACTGGAGTGTGGGCTAATTGCTTGGACTTGTAAACCCTTCTTCCTGCTGCTATGGAAAATGGAGTTCATAGATATGTGTGGGTGGAAATCAAAACATACTTATACTCAGTTTACTGCCTTCAGAAACCAGTGACTGTAATATGGAGAAGGCAGAATCTTTCTTTTTCCGCTCCACATTTTGGTTTTACTAGAGGACAGAGTGCTCTAGGTCCTCTGAGGTGGAGGTCCAGATTCTGCTGGGTCCTCCATCACTTGGGAGCTGCTGGATCCCTGGGATTGTTTTGGAGAAGTACTTGGCTTCCCCTGGTACCCAAACTAGCCACCCAGGTGTCCTCTCACTAGGTGGTGCTCGCATCTGAATGGCTGGGGATGTCTGCTCCACTCGAGTCTTGGAAGGGATAGCTGTGAACCTCTGAATCAACCGCTCATCCTACAAAGTCTGCCGTTCAGGGTCAGGGGTCGGAGGCTGGCAGGGGTTGCCCTCCCCTGGACACTGTCCCTCTAGTGTTGTTTGCTTTGTATTGCAGATCCCGCTCACCAGCAATGGGGAAGTGCCCTACCTGGAGTTCCTGGCCAGGTTTGGCAGGCTGATCACAAATGTGCACTCCCTAAAAAGGTAAGGAATGGCTTGTCCTTTATGGAATCCAGTGTCGGCCCTATGGCTCCTATGAAAGTGGGGGATGGAGGCAGGCGGAGACGGTCTCCTTGGGTGCCTCTTGTTGGTGTGGAGTGACCCTGGACTCTAGCAGTTGGACCGGAGAGGTCTCTCCCTCTGGTTCTGATGCCTCGGCAGGTGCTGCCCAGCTGGCGAGGCTGTGAGTGCCAGCCGAGTGGATGGACTGCTTCTCTCTTGTCACAGAACCAGCCCAGCTGGGCGTGAACAAGCCCAGCCCCCCAGCAGCGTCCACCAGCCCATGATGGCTTTCGGCCACAGCACCTCACAATGACTTTCTGCTGAGGGGCCAGTTCCACGAGCATTTATGAAATGCAAGCATTTCAACCTGGGTTGGCCTCTGATTCAGACTGACTCTGTGACCCTGAATGAGTCATTTCCCCTTGGAGTTCCCTGGGTGGATCTCTGGGCTGCTAAGTTTCAGAGAAGGTGCTCTCACTTCCAGGAGCTCCTCAAGCCACTGAAGTTGCAGTTTGGTGCCCCTTCCCCCACCAAAAACATGCCAAGGATGCAGAGACAAAAATGAGGCCATCTCTGACCTTGAGGAGCTGCAATCAGCCTTGGGACGTGAAGGGCCACTGCCAGGGAGCTCGCGACCTTTGAACTGTGAAGGAATGGATAAGAATTTCTTTGGGCAGGCCTGTGCTAAGCTCTGAACATAGAAGGGAGTGGGGAACAGTTCCTGCCCTTAGGGAGCTTCCATTCTAATAGGGGAAGACTACTCCTAAAGGGGAGTGGTAGCCATGGAGGGGTGGCCTTTTTGCAATGGCTAATGTTGATTTAATGACTGATCCCACAGTTAGAGGTGCAAAGGAGGTCTAGGGGCAGGGGGGCGTGGGCATGGCAGCGTGGCAGCGTGGCAGCATGGCATGAAGGTGTCCTGGGAGTGGTGTGCTGGGTTTGGGTCAGCCTAGATGTGGTGAATTCTCACCACTCCAAAGCCCAGGGCCTGCAGGCAGGAGCCAGAGCGGAGACATTAAAATTACTTGAAGAGTATCAGAACTAATTTAATTGATGAATCCGTTGTTATTCATGATTTATTCAATAAACACTTAATAAATGCCTCCTCCAGTCAGTCAATGAACATTTATTAAGCACCTAGTATGTGCCAGGCAGTGTGGTAAGCGCTGGACAATGCCCATGTAAGGTCCAAGAGAAGATAAAAAGATCCTTGAGACTTGGTGGCTAGCTTCAAGGAGCTTATGACCCAGCAGGGGAAGATAATCATAAGAAAAATCAGAGTGTGGTGAGGGGGTAAGAGAAGCCCATCATGCTTGGGCATTCAAGGAGGGCTTCCTGGAGAAGGTGGTGTTTGAGGCCAGTGCTAGAGGATGGGAGCACGTTTAGCAGATGGAGGTGGAAGGGACAACGTTTCAGAGGGCAAGGCACATCCCTTCTCCGTTTCTTTGTCTATGAAATGGGGTTAATAATACTTTCAGACCCGACCCCACAGGATTATTTTGAGGAAAAAGCACTTTGAAGTAAGCTTTAGAATGTAAGCTCCTTGAGGGTAGGAAGTGTCTCACTTTTGTATTTGTTTTTGTTAAGCACCTAGTACAGTGTCTAGTACCTAGTACACCTCATACCGTAGGCACTAAAATGTCTGTAAACTTTCAAGTTCTGTAGGAATTGAGAGTTACCATCATTAATGCTCTAATTTATAATAATTCAGTGAAACATTCTGAAAAGTAACACACAGAGCCCTGGAGTTGCTTCTTAGCCTGGAGTCGACGGTTAGAATTCAGAGGATCCCTAAACTTGGATGGGAAAATGACATCTTGATTTCATTCTGCCTGGTTTCCTTTGCAATCCCCTGTGTTTTATTTTATGGTTTAGAAACAGACTCAGAGAAGGGGTCTGTCCATGGGCTTTTCGAGACTGATTGCCCAAGGGGTCTGGGACACAAGCAAAGGGGAGAACCCCCGCTCCAGAGTCAGGGGGTGAGGTAAACATGTTAACAATGAGGAGTCATTATAGTAATTGGACTTAAAAGAAGGGAAGCAAAAGGCAAAATTTTACATTCTTAAATTCGTATATGTGCCATCTGCTCTCTGTTTCCTCTTGAAAAGGCTTAGAGGGACACAGGGTTTAACTCTAGAAAGGACCTCAGAAGTTGTTTCATTCAACTCCCTTATTTTTCAGTGGAGGAAACTGAGGTCCAGAGAGCAAACTTGCCCAAGACTTGCCCAAGGTCAGACAGATAGAGCATCACAGAGATCTAGAAATAGAAGAGATCCCAAAAGCTTTCTAGACTAATTTCACATATAAGGAAACTGAGGTCTATACTGGGAAAATGATTTGCCCAAAATCACACAGGTGACAGAAATGGGGTTTGAACCCAGGTCCACTGACTTCAAATTCAGTGCTCTTTGGTAATCATGGCTTTGCGGTTCTAAGTTTAAAATATGCTATGGAATGGAGCAAAACAAAATAAAATTTGTAAAACGTGCAGGCTGCCATTATGTGAATGGGCCTCCTTTTCCTCTGAAATGAATCAGTCTCAGAGCTGAAAGGGATTTCAGAAGCCAAAGAGTTCCTTCCTTCTAATCCCAGGAGCCCCTCTGTGACCTACCTGACAAGGTAGGTCACAGATAAGGTCCAGAATCTGCTTGGGGACAGAAGGGGTCCTAAGACGGCCCGTTACACTTTTGGAAGTTGGGATTATGGAAGTTTTTTTTCACCTCGTGCCTAAGTCTTTCTATTTGCAACTTGTGTTACTGTTCTGCCTCCCAGGGCCAAGAACAAGGGTAACCCTGCTTCTCCTGATGGGAAGGGTCTTTCTGGGACTCAGTTTCCTCATGTGTAAAATGGGAGGCATGGACTAGATGGGCTCCGAGCTGTCTCTCAGCTGCCACAGAATCCTCACAGAGAACTCTCAGGCCTCCTTGTGTCTTTGCTTCTCCGAGATAAATATCCTGGGTGTAGGGCCTTTGAGGGATGTTCATTTAGCACAAACTAGAGGCCCTTCTCCATCTTGTCTGGCCCCTCTGGGATATCTCTAGAGAATCGGAGTCCTTCTTAGACTGTGATGCCCAGAGCTGAACCCAGCTCTCCAGGGGTGGTTGGACCAGGGCAGAGCACATCTGTCCCTGTTCCTGGACCCAATGGCTCTCCTAATGGGTGCCCTCCTCTCCCTTTCTGATTATTTTCTGCTTCTCAGAGGTGACTTAGGGAATCCTTTCTTAGTAGGAAACAGGACTCAAGCTTTAAATTTTAAATGCATACGATTCTCCACTCCACATTGGGAGCCGGTAACAATGGCAAAAGTGAAAAGTTGGCTATTTATTTTAAGAACATCTCCTTCCTTAAAGTCAGCTTTCTTTTCCTACGTGAACCCACCGCAGAGACACTCTGGTGACCTTAGCACAAGGATACCTCCCTGATCCCCACCGGGCAGGCTCTAGTATTCTTCCCATTCATGGGCCGTGACTCACCATGGGTTTCTGGGGCCTGATACCGAGGAGCCTGATGATCTTGTTCTAAAGGGCCCCATCCTAATCTAGGATTTCATCCCAAGGGATTACTGTTTGTTTTGCAAACTTTACATCTAAGCACCCATTTGAGAAGCTCCATTTGGGGAGAAATGGAAGCTACCATCTGAGCTGTGCTCTCAAAAGGGGGTGAGAAAAGAAACTGAGGTGTAAACTTGGATTTCTTGGTTTTGTGCTAGTACCCACCGACTTTTGTCCCCTTTGAGGTGAAAGAAATAGAGATGTGACCCCCCTTTTTATTCCATTTCAGCTGAGCCTACACTGGGCCTGGGCTGTTCTGGGGGCCAGCCTTGGGTGAACTGAGGGCAGTGATCTCCCAGCCTCCCTCCTGTGCGTGACAGTGCTCTGATGGGCCCTGGAGCACTAGATGCATTGCAAAGCAGTTGTGTCCCTGCTCTGTTCACTCACTGACCATTGATGGCTGATGAGAAGGCGATAGTGCTTAGGTCTAGGAGACATCGTTTTACTGCTATGGGCCTTAGTTTCCTCATCTGTCAATTGAAGGGATTGGGCTAAATGACTCTCAGGTCCCTTCCAACTTGGGAACCGGGCCCAGTGACCGTGATAAGATGCAAATGCAGCTTCTGGGTAGCCACCCCCCACAAGCATTTTGTCTGTCCCTCCTCTGCTTGGTATCAGGTATTCATCTTCTTGCCTTTTTTTGTTTTTTCAGGGTGACTGGGAAACAGTGTAACATCAGGTCATTGAATCAACTTGAATGCCTGTTAGGAGAAAAGGTATAATCATATTAGAATGTTCTCTAACCCACTTTCCCTGCCAACCCCTGCCTAAATAACAGCCACCAGAGGTAAATACCAGGAAACAGCCCGCCTGCTGTCACTGGCTCTCCTGTCAGACTCTTCCCCACAGTGGAGGCATTTGTGTCTCAGTCTGGTTGGAAGCCTGCATCCGGCTGCATGGCTTGCCTCGCTGGTGTTGATTGGGATGAATGACAAGGAGAACGCTGGGAATCTTAACGACTTTGTGTTGACTCCCCCTGCGGTTGTGATGGGTCCTCCCACCACATCTGGCAGCCTGGCGTCTCAGAGCCAGGATGGCATTGCAGCCGCCAGTGCCCATCTTGTGCCATGCAGGCCAGGGTCACCTGCATTGCCCATATTCACTTGCCCTGGTCCACATGGGGCTGTCTCTACTAGCCGCCAGCATGGTCCAGGGGGAGGAGGGCTGGACTAGGGGCTGGAGGGAGTGGGTCCAGGCCTGCCTGAGCCTGAGCACATCCTTTCCCATTTCTAGGGTTCCGTTTCCTCCACTCTAAAAATAAGGAGTTTGGGGTAAGCTTGCCTTAAAATAAGAGGTCTCTCAGGCCATGAACCTGTCACCCCAGGGCCTATGACTTCCGGTCTCTCTCCTCCCACTCACCCTTCATGCTACGGTCATAATAGTCTTCGTTACCCATCCATCTAGGCCACTAGGATGGGAGCTTCTAGAAGGGAGGGCCTAGTGCTTAACATGACACCTTGCTGGACCAAGTTATTGAAATAGTGGTTGTTGATGTCACTCCTCTGCTCAAAAGTCTTCCCTGGCTCCCTGCTCCTCTGAGTCAAGCTGAGACTCTTAGGCTAGGCGTACGAGGTGTTCCAGAAAGCAGGCAACACTCTGCCTTTCCCACCTTTGCTCCCAGGGAACTTCTCTGGTTCAGCTGGACAGCTCCTGATACCTGGAATGTCTTACCTCCCCCTCATTCATTTAAAGGGGCCATTCCAGTGCTCCCTCCTCCACAGAGCCCTCCAGGAGTCTACCTTCAAATGCCACCCAAGGCTTGGTATCTTTAGAATGCACTCATTGGGTAAGCTTGTTCATGACTGGCAGCAGGGTTGCCCCTTCTCAACAGTAAGCTCTTTGGTGGGGAAGGAGACAGGGTGAGGCTTTATTTAAGCTATAACTCTCCCCCAGTACCCAAGAATGATCTCTGCAAACAGTGGGTGCTGAATGGGTGTTTCTGGAGCAGTGTAGTGCTCTCAAATCCAGGTCAGTAGCTGGACATTTGCCCCTTCACCAGAACGTGGATGTCTCTCTTTCTGAGCCACAAGCGGGTGAATTACATTAACAAAGTGGGGACTGTGGCTGAAAGTGCTCCATTTAAAATGCCAATTTGAACAGTGCCTAATTGATTTTCCTCTGCTGAATTCTGAGATTTTCAAGTATTTTTAAAAAACCTACAATAGCCCTGAAGCCCTCATGTGTGAAAGCACTTCTCCTGCTGGTCACCCTGACAATCAGTGGTAGGGGAGAGTTTTGTGGCACCCTGAGCCATCTAACCCACTTTCCTGACTTCTTGACTGATTTTTACACCACCAGAATCCCTTGGTGGGAGCCAGGGGCCCAGGCCCTCCGCTGCCTCGCTGTGTGAATGTGGATGAGTCCTTTTTTGTCTTGGGGTCTCGGCATCTCCTCGGCAGAAGGAGGGGTTGGGTTGGGTGGCTGTGGGGGTCCCTCTGAGGCTCGAGACACTCTGGCCAGGTTGTTACCCTCCTGTGTCCGCGGCTGCCTGCTTTTCAGTCTGTCAGAAATCTGCCGGACATGAAGGCAGACATCTCTCTTCCTTGGGTCCTTTCCAAGCTGGCTTTGTCAGCGAGTAAGTGAAGGCGAGGGGAATGGGCAAACACTCACCTGAGTCAGACAATGGAGATCCTCTGTTGCTTGTTGGAATCACCCCCTGTTTAGCCAGAGCTTTGAAGGCTGCCAAGTCCTTTGTAGCTCACTGGAGCCTCCCAACACCCCCGGGAGGCAGGGACCCTGCCAAGCATCCCTCTTGTTCTATCAAGATCTGGGATTTCCTCTGGGTGGGGAGTTCCCCAGGATGGAAACCCCCTCTACCAGGCAGTCTGGGAGGGCTCTGCAGCTTTGTCTTCCCAAAGCTGGGAAGCAAGGTTAGATGACTTGCCCAGGGACACAATGGGAGGACTTGAACCCAGGTCTTTCTGACTCCCAGCCCTGCTTCTGGCTACTTTGTCATGCTGTCTCTTATGTCCAAAACCCCCTGATTCTGGAGACAGAGGCATAGTGGGGGGAGTCTTGGGCTCAGAGTCAGGAAGACTGGGGTCATATCCCACCCTGTACAGACACTCACCACCTGTCTGGGAACAAGTCCCCTATTTTCTCTGAGCCCCAGTTTCCTCCTTTGTGAAATGAGGGGGTTGGCTCAACAGTTTCTAAGGTCCCTCCAAGCTCCGACTCTATGATGCAATGACCTTTGATGCTACCCGTGTGACTGACCACAGGCAAGTGGTCACTTAATTGCTGTATCTGAAGCTGGGCTGGATGGCCTCGGAGGCCCCTCCCAACCCTAAATCTATGCTCCTACAATCCTAAATCTCTTCCCCTTTCTGTCCCTCAGTTTCCTCATCTGTCAAATGCCCTAGATGGCCTCAGAGGCCCCTTTTAGCTCTAGATCTGGAATCCTAGACCCTGTGGGTCTCTTTTCTTCCAAAATGTAATTGGAGCCACAAATCAAATGAAGAGATGTGGATTGAGGAAATAAATACCCCATGAGAAGCATGCCCTGTCCAGTGTGTGGGGCAGGGCAGAACAAACAGCAGATTCATTCATTGAGATTCTGTTTATGGTTCCATTGTGAAGCCTGCTGGTTGTAAGTAGGAGGCTGTGCCTTTCTCAGGGCTGTTCATGCTGGCGAAGGAAAGCCAGTGGGTTTGGAATTCTCCACAAGCATGCTTCAATTTCACACACCTTGCATTTTTCACCAGGCAGCCCAACCCTGCCAACAGTTTCATCTCTAATCAAGGCCTAATGTCTCACTTAAACTAACAAATGATTAGCCTTGAGAATAGAAATGTTAATTGAACCACAATTCACATGTTGGCTAATTGTTGTTTCCTGCTGAGTGCCTTCGTGGGTGTTAATATTCTTACATTACACTGACATGCTCTTATGCTGACTCAAGGCTGTGCCTAGCATAGTAGGGCCACAGAACCTGTCAGGGAAGTCAGTGGAAGAGCACAGAGGTCATTTGGAAGCCCAGATTTTCAGCTGCCCCACCCTGACCTGCCATGAGAATGCTACTGTGTGCTTAGGCATCCCAGAGCTCCTTCTCCCCTCCAAGACTGAACATTAGATCTTCAAAATGTGCCATTCAGTTAGGGAAGTTAAGACACCCCTGAGACCTCTGATGCTTGTTTACAAGTATGTATGTGAGTTGATGAGGGTATGTAGGGGGAAGGGAAGGAAATAAGCATCTGTATAGGGCCTACTGTGTGCCACGCACTTTACCCACACTATCTCATTAGATCTTCACAACGACCCTGTGAAAAGGGGCTTATTATTCTCATTGTACAGTGGAGGAAACTGAGGCAGACAGAGGGGAAGTGGCTTGCCTAGGGTCACATAGCCAGTGTCTGAGGCTGGATTTGAACTCAGGTCTTGACTCCAGGTCCAACGCCATCTAGCTGCCATTTTGCAGAGGAGTTAGCAGGGAGCTAGCTGTCCAAGGTTACCCTGATGAGGTGTCAGGGTCAGGATTTGAACTAGGTCTTTGGCCTCCAGATCTGCATCCATCCGGCTCCTCCATAGAAGTGGTCATTTAGTTCAGCTTTCAGAGCGCTGGTTCTTGGAGGAGATTTGAAGACCAGTGACATGTAGTCCCTGCCTTCATGGCGCTCCCAGTCTAGCAGAGAGCTCTGTCGCTTTCCCAGAGCCGTGTAGTAACATGGAACATGGTTGATACGTAGTAAGGGACCGACCAGGTTCTGAGTCAAGTCTGAGGAGCCACAGATCACCCTGGGACCCCTCCAGGTAATACTGGATAAATGAATTTCCTGGATTTTGAGATGGCATTGACCGGGCATCATGTTGATCTGTCTGTGAATCGCACTCAGAAGGTGGATTCAGCAGAAAATGTGCTCGCCTTGGGGTCTCCAATCAGGCCCCCTCCTGGCTCTGCTGCCCCTTCCCTGGATGACTTTGGGCAAGTCACTTCAGTCAGCCAGGTGGCATTTATTAAATGCCGACTATATGCCAGGCACTGTCTTATGAAGAATGGCTAAAGATAGCTCCTGCCTTCGCAGAGCACTCAGTCTAATGCTCTCCACTCTGGGCCTCAGTCTCCACATGTGTGAAATGAGTGGCTTGAGATGGCTTCTAAGGTTCCTCTTTGTTCAAAATACACGATCCTGCTGAGGAGACCTGAGAAGGAGCCATGACGACTGTCAGGGAGACTTTGGAGGCAAGTCCTAGGGAGTGAGTCGCTGGGAGCTCTAGGGACCCCAGCACTTGTAAGGGTCAGTAGCAGTACTAGAACTCAGGTCATCCTGACTCAAAGCATGGCAACCTACCATCCCACTGCGCCACCATTGGGGAGCTCATGTGGCTCTAGTGGTTTGTAAACCATCCTTGTCTATTATGTCATTCTCTAAGTGCTGGGTCTACAGTCAAGAAGACTTGAGTTCAAATCCAGCCCTAGACACTTCTTAGCTGTGTGACTTTGGGCAAGTCATCTAACCCCTGTCTGCCTCAGTTTCCTCAGCTATGAAATGAGGATAATAATAACAGCTCCTACCTCCTAGTGTTTTTGTGAGGATCCATTGAAATAACATTTATAAAGCACTTTGCAAACCTTAAAGCATAATAATAATAATAATAATTATAATGACAATGATGACAACTCATATTTTTATATCACTTTAAGGTTTGTAAAAGGTTTTCCTCAGGACCACCTGCAAATCATGCAGTTGAGTCTTCTCCCCACTTTATAGAGGGGCAA